GTTTTTTTTTTTTTTTTTTTTTTTTGTTAGTTACCGTTTCTATGTTTTTATCCCTTAAAAACGCGCGCCTACGACGCGCGAACGCGACGTCCTCCTTCATATTATTATTATTATTATTATTATCATACCGTGTCGTCGCCCCGCAACCCCACTCTTATATTGTATACTTTTTAGCGCTCCGGTGTAAATATATACTAATACAGAGATTTATTTTTATTTGATTTTTTTTTTTTTTTTTGATCTTCTTTTATCTGTTTTTATTTTTATTCATATTACTGTTTGTAAGGCTGACCCGGTCTGTAGAGAAAAACAAACAATAAAATAATACGTACGGCATTATTATAATAATAATAATAATAATAATGATACTACGCTCAAGTAATTAAAAAAAAAAATTAAAAAAAAAATAACGTACCATTCCACATTATAATACTATACGATAACTTTATAATTAATATTATTTCTCGAGCGATCTCCGTGGCAGGGGGGGGGGAGGTAGGGGACGTCGTATTCCGAGGGAGTTCGCGCGGATGCACTTTCGCGAGGCCTCCCCGTAATTTTCGGACAGCCGACGGACATTTTTCTGGTAAAATAAACGGAGAGAAAATTCGTTTGCTTTCCCGGTGAGTAAAAAACAAACGACCGGCCAGATTGTCACCGACCGTTGTACGGTTTATGGTTTTGAATTTTCTGTTTACTTTACGTTTACCCTTATGATAAACAACGTAATTCCGTTTCAACGAAAAAATACATTCCCGCGAGAACATCACGAGTTCCACACTCCGAAGACTGCGTAATTATTTTATTATAAAAATATTATGTATACATTTATATATATACTTATAGAGAGAGAGAGAGAGAGAGAGAGAGAGAGAGAGAGTTCACTTAACAATAATTATCGTTCTTTTCATTTTTTTACTATTATTATTTTTTATACATTTATTATAATACAATGCGATGATGGTTAGTATTATACTATAAAATAATATAAAGGGTGCATTATTGTTGTTACATTTGAAACGAAAGAAGAAAAAAAAAAACGCATAGGATCTGTGAACCCTATTATATATTATAATACGCGATACCGCGCCCTTTCTAAACATCGATGTATTAAATACGAAGACGAAATTGATTTAACATTACAATCTCGACGTAAACATTCCCGATAATGTTGTAAATATTATGGAAAAGAAAAAAAAAACAAAAATATTATCACGTGGCGAACTATATATAACGATATATAAATAAATAAATATATAAATCCCGTTTTTTTTTTTTTTTTTTTCGATCGTGTAAATATTAAAAAAATTTCGTCGTAAAAATATACGTACAAGTACAAAAATTGTTTTTTTAAAAAGTTTTTAGCTATACTATACATAATATTACACAGTGTCCGACGTTTCGTCGTCCAGTTTTACCCCTCTCGCCTTTTTTTTTTTTTTTATTTAATTATTATTATTATTGTTATCACAATCGTTTTTATGTTCTGTTTATTATTGCTATTATTATTATTATTTTTTTTTTTTATTTCGAACATTAAAAACAATGTAAATTCGGTTTATGTTTGACTAGTCTGTTATTTATTATTTTATAATATTATTATTACAATATTAATATTTGTATTCGTATTATTATTATTATTATGATTATGATTATTATGATTATTATTATTATTATTATCATTATTATTATTATTATTATTATTATTTTTATCATTATTATTATTATTATTATAATTAAAACTATTATTTTTATTATTACTACTATATAGTTATTATTATTTGATTTAGGTTAAAACTATCCCCCCTGATAAAAAAATGTATTCCCCCACTCTCCTCCCTCATTATAAACTCACCTAAAAAAAGTTTGAAATATATATTAAAAAAAAAAAAAAAAAAAAAAAAAAAAAAATTAAATTATAATATAATATAATATTATAATAAACGTTTTGATTAAAATTGCGGTAACGCTCACTAATGTTCCTCATTATTATATAATATTGTAGAGTTCTTATGTACATTGTATGGATTATATGGATTAGTGTTAAAAAAAAAAATAAAAATTACGGCGCACTTAAGCGACCCGAGTATAATATAGGTAATTTAGGAAATACCTACGTAAAATTTATAATGAACTGTAAGTTTAACGTACTTTTTGTCGACCGTGTGTTGTTTGGTTAAAAATTGTATTTAAAAAAAATAAAAATAATAATAATAAAAAAAAAATTGAAACTATTATTATTACCGTTATTATTATTATTATTATTATTTATCGATTATCGTTTCACTGAATACTGTTGAAATCATGTTGATGTTATTATCACGTGTTATTTACAATCTAAACGTTTTCGGTTTCGCGGTCCGACGACGTTTCCCTTCGAATTTCCGACGGTCACCCGTTGCGCAACCGATGCGTAATCGTTATCGTCGTTATAATTCCAAATTTAGAACGTTTTTCCGGTGTCCCCGGCTGACCGTCGGGATTCCGGTCTCCGACGTCGGAAATCGAAACGTCGACAACTGCCGCGCGTGTCTCGTGCGCCACATCACTAACAATAATAATAATAATAATAATAATAATAATAATGATAATAACAACAACAACAACAACAACAACGACAGTGACGACAACTTGGCGTTTTGTACCTACATCGCAATATCGCATCACACACACACACACACACGATATCTTTACTTTCTATAGAATATGCGTTATCGAGTATACATATATTTATTATTATAATTATTATTATTATTTGTATAGGTATTACCTTAAACATTATATTTGTGTTTTTTTTTCTCGACGGAATCGTCTTAAGTTATTTTTATTTTCGAAAAAAAAAAAAAAAATGCATTATTATCATCGTCGATATTGTCGTTGTACATTTTCTCCTATACAATAATATAATAATAATATTATATTATTGTACACACAATAATATTATAGGTATATTATGTAAAAAATATTTATAACAAAACATTTTTTTTTTTTTTTTCTCGTTTATTTATTATACTGTATGCATAATGTATATGCATATGGTTGTACATAACCTACTATTATATGATATTATTATTATTATTATTTATTTGTCATCGTAAACCAAATATGTTTTTTTTTTTTTTTCTGTTTAAGTAATATATAATATTATTATTACGCTATATAAAATGATTTGTTTAGAATATTATTATTGTAATTGGTTTAAAAAAAAAAACAAACAAAAAAAAACAAAAAAAAAAATATATATATATATACAATATATAAAATATATATTATATGTATATTAAACCTAATTGGACTTCTGATTTTTTAAGATTCCGAGCGAGTATATCGAAAGAGTCATTATAGTTTTACTGCATGACGCGTGGTTTTTCGCACTTCTCGTAATAATGCTTCGAATATTGCGAATCCACAAAATTTGAAACGCACGGATGTACACAAACAACGTACGAAATAGATGGGTTTTGTTTGTGGTGGTTTCTGTGTTCGGTACCTCGGCTACACGGGAAAAAACACGACTAAAACTTTAACGAACTCCGCCTTTTGGATTGCAACGGTTCGACGTCGTATTGAGTGTATACGATTCCAAACTGAATTAAACCATACGTAAGTTATACGCTCTGCGTATATTCTAAAATGCTATATAAACTACTCGCTTACAACGGCGGCCTACCCATGATATAAATGTTATCCAGGTTTTTTTTTTTTTTTTAACGTAATTAGGAATCGTTGTTGTGTGCTATCGCTACAGTATGACGGTGCACCGACGATCTATAATGCCCAATCCTCCTTCTGTATTGTTATCCTTTTGTGTGAAAACGCGCCGAATAAATGCGGTTTGTTATAATAAATAAAACAAAAAAAAAAAACAAAACCATTTACAGCCGTCGCTGCAGCGATGCGGAAAACGGGGGGAAATTCGGCCGAAAAAAAAAAATCCGTAACCGCGAGGGACACGCGCGCTGCGATGTTTTCGGCCGCGTGTCGTCCTCTCCGTGAACAGTACAAATAATATTGTATTTAGGTTTTCGGTTAACGACGGTTTCGTTATAATAATACGCTATTTTTTTTTTATTTTTTTTTTTATAATATAATGTTATAAACATCGTTTACATACAGTCCGCTAGTGCTACTAACCCAATTCGCGTTTAGTTAAATTTCCATACGAACGCGTGTTTAATTCGCGTTATATTTTAACTCATCGAATCGGATTAACGTTAACTCCGATAATGTAATAAGAACTGCATGTTAACAGTCAATTTATTGACATGATATTTCCGCCAGCAGTTGAATATTAGATTATACACCACTAGTTGTCCCGCGCCCGGCGTTGTCCGTGCCGATTTTTATTGTTATTATTTCACCCGTATTCGTTTTTTGGTTTTAGCCGTGTCATAATTGAATGAAAAAAAATAGGCGCCTCACGCGGACTAAACGCGTTCTACAGTGAAATTTCAATAGCGTAAATAACAGTAATAATAATAATAATATTCGTAACAGTTTTCTTTTCCGTAACACCGATAAGGTAACCGTTGAATAAACGAAAATAAATAAATGAACAATTATAGATATTCGTGTCGAATTTACTTAAAATCCTCTATTTTACCCCATTAGGCGACGGATTTTCAAAAATCCTTTCTCAGCGGATGCTCGCGTAATAACAGCTATCTGTGCGCCGAATTTCAGCCCGATCCGTCCAGTGGCTGGCGCTAGGCGACGATGAATCATCGGTCAGTCAGCCGGTCAACTGGATAATATTGTAGGTATTATAATAACGTGTAATTTTTTTTTTTTTTTTTCTTTATGCGAGTTAAATCCCAACATTTGAAGTGTATAAGTGTATCATTGACTTGCGTACTAATACGTAATACTAAGATTATTCACTGCGTGCGAAATCGGTATGTATTACAGACTGCATGTAAACGTGATAACGGTAAGTTATTATATTGTACGATAACGTGATAACCGCCAAGAGCGTTGAGCGATATTCAGCAGGCACATGATGTGTTCCTCATTAAACTTGACGATCAATCGGATTAGGAATCCGATGTATTTCGACGGTCCTCGGAAAATTTTAGACTATCTATAATTGCCTATCTAATTGCCTCTCGATGCGTTTGGTAGATGGCCAATAAAAACAGCCCGGAAAGGCGATAAATAATTAATTGATAAGGTTAATTATTTTACTATCTCAAATTTAAAAAATATAAATTAAATACAAAATGAAAAAGGACGTGGGTGCAGCCAATGTTGTAGGTGGGAAGTTGGGAAGATAGGATACACGCGGGAATTTAATGTACATCTGTAAGCAACGATAAACCATTTAAAACGAAAAAACGATTCTGAGCGGAGATTAGTTGATAGTGTTGCTTTGTCAACAATACAATATTAAATGGTATTTATCATATTACGGTAAAATGATTACAACAATGTGCGTTTCTATGACAATAATGGTTGTTTAGAAAAGATTAAAATAATAAAAACTTAATAATAACGAAAAATAAATAAAACCAGTCGTACGATAATGAGGACGGGAGCAAAAACTGTTATAGGTAATCTAATGTTTACCTATAAGCAACGATAAACCATTGATTACGAAAAAACGATTCTGAGCGGAATTCAGTTGATGGTTGATACTTTGTTGACAATATACATGCCATATTATAGTAAAATAATTAAATGGGCTCTATTTATTTTCCTTAATAATATTTCTTTAATGTTGTAAATGTTGAAAAACATCTTGAATGAACAGACATATTTCAAACATAGTATTTTTACTATCAATATTTTAGATGATATCATGTTTTTAAATCTATTTAAATTTAAATTTTTAAACATAAATTGTTTTTTTTTGTTTAATGAGTTTTATTGTATGTCACAATAAAAAAAAAATTAAATTAACTGACTAAAAAAACATACTGAATAACTGTTTTAGACACGCAATATCCGCCAGAATAAGCGAAATGAAAATTCTTTACCCAACATGTTCCTGCAGACGGTCTGCATGCACCTGCGATTAATATGAATTATATTGCCAAACGATTTTTTATAGGGCAAAATTGAAAGTATAATTTTTTGCCTCCATTTGAATATCGATATTATCATGATAACATATTAAACCTTTGATTGTTATATGGTTTATTATTTGTTATATGTGTTCGTATATATAAATCGTACGACATCAGAGACCGCTTTCGGGACGTTCTAAATATTGTAACATAAATTATAATTTATATTTGCCTGTGCAGCCGGCCGTTGTACGAGTTTGTTTATTAGGTGTATACGACTTTCGAACACGCGGGCCGAGCGATTGCGGGCGATGGTTTGGTCTCTGGCAAACAAAAAAAAAAACCAAACCAAACACACAAGTACACCGGGGGAAAAAAAAAAAAAAAAAATTAAATTATAAAAGCCTCAGTGGCGGCGATACGCGTTTCGAGCTGTCTAAAATATTATGATAAAAACGTTTTTTTTTTTTTTTTTTGTTTTTTTGGCCGCGCCAGTTTGTTTAGTCCGTTTATACACCGTGCTCGTACATCACATCATCACCGTCATCATCATTCGTATTATTATTATTATTATTATTATGTATATACCAAAACGGTCTATCGAGTACAAAAAAATCGTGATGGGGTCCGCCGTGCCGTCGCCGTCGCCACGGAGCAAACATACATGTGTTCAGACACACATTTTTCCACCTATGACGTCCACATGCACATGTGTGAGCAGTCCGTGTACACACTTGCACACAACCATCACAAAATATTATACTATACAATTTATAATTTTTGGTGTTTGTATGCAAATGTGTGGCTATGTGATGTGCCGCTTGTGCGTGTGACAACGAGCTTATAAAGTTAAAAAATATCGTTGTAAAAAAACGTACACACAAAACAAAAAAAATATACGCGATCGCACGGGTTCGTTTTCCCTGCAGGTTTGGACCTAATTGATAAATAACCTGATCGTAGGGGCAGGGACTTCTGTTCTTCTTCTTCTTCTTGAAGGTTTTATCGATTTCACCGTTTTAATATCCATTTCGCCGGACATTATTGTATGTATTTTGATTCCGCCGGCTATCGGATCCGCTGAATATATCGTTTTCATACATTTAATATAGACGAATCATACTAATTATAAACCTTATAGATTTATAATAATAAAAACTGTAAAAAAAAAAAAAATTACATACATTCATATTTTGAATTATTTGTTTATCCCACATAAAGGTAGCGGCACAAATATAACACGCCCTTATAAAACGCATCCAACAAAATTTGTTGGTGACTCGTTGAACATTGTCGGATCACACCCCGAATTTGTCGGAACATAATTTCAGTCGGTAGAGCATTTTTGAGTTGTGTTGCTAACTATATTCCAATAGCGCAACTTTACAAAAAAAATCTCGAGCCATGTGTCCCCATTTCCTTAGCTTAGAATCGTTCGTTGTTTCTAATTGCATTTACATAAAATACAGCGAATAGTACAATTATATGTATTTTTAAATATGTTTCCATGATTCATAAACATTTGATTGATTTTAAAATGTATAATGTATACATTTCAATACGAGTGTTTAGACTCTGTTAAACGGCAATGTGTCAATAAAAAGTATACCGCAAAAATGTATGTCAATCGTGACGTGAAGACAATCATAAAAGATGAATCACGAAAAAGAATTCGGAATCTGTAAATTGTTGAATCGGTTAAAACGAAAATCTGACGGTGAATTAAAAAAACCACTAAGAAATACAAACAAAGACATTTTAAATAATCGTATCCAGTCAAAATTGTTTACCATTCCTGATGTGTGCGATATAATATATCAATGTTTCTACCGGTCTCATCGATCTGCATATCCAACGCGACCAAATCATATTTTTGAAGTTATTGAAGTATAATTAAATATCTTAATACTTAAACTGTCGAGAAAAAAATTTGTCTGCTCTATGTAGACTCCATAAATAGTATATTATTCTACTCTACAAAATTTGAAATTTCTTTGAAAAAAATTCGGCGGAGTCGATGCGTTTCTTACAGGTAAAAAGGTGATTTCGGTAGAATTTTCTCTTTCTCACTAAATGCCTTGTTGCTACGAAAATTCTGGATCCCCGCACATTTTTGTTCGTCGTGGCCAATCACTTCAATCGGCCGAATGCAATCGCCACAACATTTCTTCAATAAATGCCTTCCCGAGTCTTCGTTTTCGTTGATAACCG